AAAGTGGCATATTCCTTCAGATGCGGAATTTTGAATTACAAATTCAAAATGGGCGGAAATCGTCTTACCCGCTCCCTCGAAACCCTAGCTTCACCTATATAAACCCCCACCTCTCTTCAAAAAGGGGTTGGCGATTTTTGTTGGATTTTCGGAAATAGATTTTTAAGACAAAGTGTTAGAAACTTGGGGGGGGAACGATTTTTCTGGGAATTTTTTGGGGGTACCATCACAAAAAGGTTGAGATAAAATTCGAGAGTATTCTGTTGCTTTTCGGTTTTGTCGTAGTTTGACGATTTAGAGTTCAAATTTCAGAGGTTTGAAATTCTGAGGGGTTAGACCTTTTGGATGAACAGGGGGGATTAGAAACCTTGTTTAGATTTTCTTATCACAGAGGTGTCTACAGAGGAAGACTTGTCTCGTGTTCTTAGAAAGGAGAGGAGGAAGTTTTCTAAGCTAGCTTGCGTTGGACTGGTGTTCGTGCTCGCACGGTGGTAGTCGTCCCCATCCCCTGCTCGTATTGTCCCCGTTCTGCTGCTCCGAGGAAGGTACATCCCCCGTTTCTTTATTATTTTAAAATCTTCTTGTTGGCTGCGTCTGTTGTTTTTCATGTAATAATAGTCTGGCTCATTTATATGTGTTGCCATGCTTTGATTGCTGCTCTTCTATTTTCATCTTAGTTTTTTTTGTTTCTTTCTCACGTTAAGTAGCTAATTGTTGTTGTCTAAGTTGCGTCTGGTTTCGATGTCACGTGATAAATGATATTCGTTGTTGGTCTTCTCTATTCGTTGGCTTGTTCTTTTGCTGCTATAAAGAAAAAAAAAGAGGAGGAGAAAGAATGGAAAATCTCGTTGTTGCTGTTTCTCCATTGCGTTTTCGTGTTTCGTCTTATTGTTCGGCTGCTCGTCTATTGCTATCCCTTCGTTTCCCCTCAAGTCAAGTTTATTTAAGTTATCATCTGTTAAGTCGCGTTTTGTCGCAATATTAGATGAGATATGATAAGTCGTTGTTGTTACTTGCGAATGCTGTGGGTCTTCATCGGTTCCATGTTTTAGACTTTTCAAAATGTATCTCTGTGCTTTATTTCGGTCTAGATGGCATTTGCTAAAGAGGTCGAGACCATGCTTATTTTTCTTTTTCTTTTTAATTCGATTTTGTTGGTCACGTTGCGTTTAAGGTTATTCTTCATCTCGACATGAGCCTAGTTGAGTTTAAACTCGTTTATTCCTACAGTTTGGTGAATCTGTTTGAACTCCGTTTGGCTTAGTCAACTGTTGGGTTCAAGTAGGAATTTACCTGATAGTCGATGCATTAGGAAGCCTCTGTTTAGTTGTTGTTATACGTAGTGTGTAGGTTAAATCACTGTGAGCTTTGGAGCCCTTTTCTCTTGAATATGTTTCTATTATGATCTTCTTCTTGTTTTAAGTACGTGGTTGAACTTGTGGTGGTGTTATTTATTAGTTTGAATATGAAGCTTTTGATTAGATTTGGAAATTAATCTTTCTCCGATTCTGTTGGTTTCCTCCATTGTTTAACATACTCGACTTGCATTATTTGTGTATTGTTTGAGTTTATTTATGTATTAAACTAATGTTGGACCTTTCTTGTTAAATCACTTATTTCTATTTCTTTCTTCTTCTTTGCATAACTCTCTCTCCGAACGAGTCCAATGGACTCTCCCCTTTGGCATCTTTAAGAAAGACCATAAAAGGCTCGATTTCTTCTTGCCGAGTCAAAGTCATAAAATCCGGTGGACAGCTCCTCGAAATTGAAATCCCTTGAAGATTGAAGAAATTCGAAGAAGAGGATTAGAAGACGTTTTACTTTATTTTTATATTTTTGTATTTCATTTTGTAATGGGCATAAGCCCTTGTTGTCTTATTTCCTTGAAATTTATTTTGCATGTTTAGACTAGGACAGGTACGAAAGAGAAATGGGTCGAAGCCCAAAAAGCAGGTGGGTCCAACATTCGGTCAAGGCGAACAGAACCGAAGTTGGACCCAAAATCTCTCTCTCTC